TAGCTTGGCGGTGTTTGCCTGAAAACTTTTTGCTGGAAATGCCAATTGCAGTTATTTAAGGCATCATGCAGTTTGGGCAATTGCTGCCAACCTTTTTTTGCAGCGTACTTGCACGCACAACTGGTGTCCACCGGACCACCTTTCTCTCACGGTACTTTCTCTCGAGAGCTCTTTGGGTGGCAATGAATAGGGAATGTCAGGAAAATACCTAGGAAAAGGCCAGGTTGAGTGCCATTGTGTGGGCTTTCCCCAGGGGGGAAATTATTCTAGGGGTATTGGAGATGCCTGGTACCCCTCAAAAACGAAAGTGAACAGCCAATCACCAAATTAGCCCAGAAATTGGTAAGAATTGTCAAAAAACAAATGAAACCCACACATTTCCCACCCATTCCCACTATGGCCAACGGGAGTTTTTTGGAAGGAAATGAAGGGAATATGGAAGAAATAGGGGGGCGGACGCGAAGTTGGGAAAACTTGTAGGAGAGAGCCAGGTTGAGTGCCATTTTGCGGGCTTTCCCCAGGGAAACAATTATTCTATAGGGGTATTGGAGATGCCTGGTACCCCTCAAAAACGGAAGTGGTCAGCTAATCACCAAAGTAGCCCAGAAACTGGCAAGAACTAACATAAGACAAATGAAACCCAAACATTTCCCACTCATTCCCATTGTGGCCAACGGGATTTTTTTGGCAGGAAATAAATGAAGGGAATATGGAAGAAATAGGGGGGTGTACGGAAAGTTGGGAAAACCTCTAGAAGAGAGCCAAGTTGTTTCTTTTTTCGGGCTTTCCCCAGGGGAGAAATTATTCTGGAGGTATTGGAGATGCCTGGCACCCCTGAAAAACAAAAGGGGGCAGCTGCTACAATCACAAAACAAATCCAGAAATTGGCAAAACAAATTAACCAGTGACAACCAAATATTTTGCTTTTCCCACTCATTCCCACTAAGGCCAGAACCACCAAACTAGCCCAGAAACTGGAAAAACACCCAAAACCAACTAAAACCATGTTCAGCCAGTGGGTTGCTGAGAGGAAATTTGTTTAAAGATACTATTCTGACTCTTCTTGATCCTATCTGATTATGTTGAAAATTGTTTAAATTTGTGCCCCAGCTCTGCAAGAAGGGAAACCGTTTTCGGCCGTTTGCGCGCAGCTGCTTACGATCACTTGCATTTGGCTAGAAATAGACTATACCGGTATCATTTTGATGGAAATTATTCCATTTTTCCATATGGACTCATTGAGTTCTTAGAATATTTCCCCACCTGCCAGGTGAGGGTTGTTAGATTTTATGTCAGTTGCCTCCTCGTCCTCCTCCTCGTCCTCCTCCTCGTCCTCCTCCTCCTCCTTCTCCTCCTCCTTCTCCTCCTCCTCCGCCTCGTCCTGCCTCGTCCTCCTCTCCTCCTCCTCCTCGTCCTCCTCGTCGTCCTCGTCGTCCTTGCTCAACTGCGACCCGCGATCCACAGTGTTCTCTGCCGGACCTCAACCACGACCACCCACGCCCAGTGTTCCCTGCCGGACCTCAACCACGACCATCCACGCCCAGTGTTCCCTGCCCGACCTCAACCACGACCATCCGCGCCCAGTGTTCCCTGCCGGACCTCAACCACGACCATCCGCGCCCAGTGTTCCCTGCCGGACCTCAACCGCGACCATCCGCGCCCAGTGTTCCCTGCCGGACCTCAACCGCGACCATCCGCGCCCAGTGTTCCCTGCCGGACCTCAACCGCGACCATCCGCGCCCAGTGTTCCCTGCCGGACCTCAACCGCGAGTATCCACGCTAAAAGATATGCCACATAGAGTGCCAGAAGATATGCCAGATAGAATGTTAGAAGATATGCCAGATAGAATGCCAGAAGGTATGCCAGATAGAAAGCCAGATAGAATGTCAGCTAGAATGCCAGAAGATATGCCAGATAAAGTGCCAGAATGTTTGCCAGATAGAATGCCAGCAGATTTGCCAGATAATATGCCAGAAGATATGCTAGATAGAATGCCAGATGGAATGCCAGAAGATTTGCCAGATAATATGCCATAAGATATGCCAGATAGAATGCCAGATGGAATGCCAGAAGATATGCCAGAAGATATGCCAGAACATCTGCCAGAAGATATGCCAGAACATCTGCCAGAAGATATGGCAGGTAGAATGCCAGAAGATATGCCAGATAGAATGCCAGATCGCATGCCAGAAAATATGTCAGATAGAATGCCAGAAGATTTGCCAGTAACAAAATGTATAAATGTCATGGTGGGGATCACACGAAGTAAAGTAATTTTTTGTTTTGAACTCAACGGATGCCGGAATAATATTTTTATTATTCTGAGGTATGTTGACGGGGGTATCCCCTTAAGGCATCCCTCATTATGCAATCGTATTCTACAAAAAACAGTTTTGTATCTGTGATAGTGCCTTAGATGCTATTTTCTTTGCAGGTCCTGTGTGCTGCCAAATGCAGATTTTTTTTGTTTTGTTACTATCTAAATCTAAGTTGTGTCAGGCACCCTTTCCCTTGCAAGAGGAACGTGAGAAAGGCAGGAGGGAATCGACTTGTACAAAGTAGAACGATTATATAGAAGGGAATCATCATGGTGCAGTCTTCGCTCTTTGACTGGCTGAGTGGAGGGATAGCGATGCAAGTTGATTCTTTGCGAAGTTGGTTTGGACGAAGATCAACAAAGTTTTATGTGCCAAGAAGAGGCAACAACTGCGCAAAAAGATGTTATATACCTTTTCTGGGGACCCAGGCATCCAATTTGTGGCGACTGATTGTCAGCATTCTTGACAATGGCCCGTACCTTTGTGATGGGTTGTTTCTGCTTGTGCACCACTCTTGCACAGCTTGCAGGACAGCCAAGGCTGGGAATGGAATGCCGGTCCAAATCTGGAAATTTCTGGGGTTGCCTTGTCCCTCTCCAAATCTTGGACGACATATTCCAGGATGTCCAAGTGCCTTTCACAAATTCTGTGTTTCCGTCGCTGTGCAGGCTCAGTGCACCAACCACTGGTATGGATTTGCAGGCCTTAGATGTGATTCTCATGTTGAAGGGAAGTTTTGGGTCACACTATCACGCAGTTGAGTAACCGCTTGGGCAATTCCAGACAGCGCAATCGAGATCCTGGCTGGAAGCATCGAAAATTGTGCAGCTGATTTTAGGCCAAGATTCCCTGTGTGAACGAACGATTCTATCATGTGAACCACTCTTGGTTTGAACCTGGGTGTTCGAATTTGAAATAGTTTGAAGATGTTTGTAGGCTGGGAACATTCGGGAACCTTTGGTTTTCCCATTGGAAAACTATCTATACTAATATAAAATATTATGAAACCATGTTCAATCAATAATCATCTCAACATATGGAGGTTTCCTAAAATAAAGGTACCCCCAAATCATCCCTTTGGGGAATTTGGGGTATCCCCATTTATGGGAATCCGGCTAGGCCTTGGAGGACTTGAACGTCGTGGCCTTTGCGGCTCTGCAGGACATGGACTTTCTGGCACAGATACATTGATATACAGTACATGGGACATAGTGGAAAATGTACATGTCAAACCATGTCAAACCATGTCAAACCATGATTCGAGGAGTGTTCTTTTGGCTGCTACAACGGTAGTACTGCTAGTCTTTTGGGTCCTTTGAAGATGTGTCAGTTTTGAGATGCTGAGCTGTCGCGCTTCACCGTTGCAGGAAGGTATCGGCTTGGATCTGGTAGACAGGGCTGATCGTAACCCGAATGAAGCATTCAGGTCAGAAGAGGTGAGAACACAACCGAAGAATGGGAAGCGACCCCCAATATGACCAACATGTGGTGGTAAAAACAGCCAAATGCCAGCTTAATTATTGGGTTTACCAATCTACTGTGACGTTACTAATATATCAAATCTGGTCTATCGCTGACAAGTTGCAGTGAAGACTGACATGAAAAAGTTACACTGAGCAAATAGAATAATGACGGATGGGTTTGCTTTTGTACGGACAAGTTTCCATGCACACACGTACAGAGACACGGATATGTACATCTATGCATGAGTTTGTAATTATAAGATGACGACGACGACGACGACGACGATGATGATGATGATGATGATATAATTTAGCGAAAAAATGTGAATATTGTGAATAATGGTATGTACATAAGTGGTGTTTCGGTGGATGTACGGACAGATACATAGGTGTATATATATATATATCTGTATATATATATATATACATATATATATATGTATATATATATATACAGATATATATATATATACATATACATATATATATATACATATATATATATATGTATATATACATATATATATACACATAAATATATATATATATACATTATTTTTAATACATATAAGTATATGTAAATACATATGACCATTTGTCATAAATAGTTGTTTAGAAGTTTAGTATTGGTTGTTGATAATTCATCTGCGTCTACTGTTTTTTCCTCTTCGTTATGAGGCGGCACGCAACTAAATTCAGCAATTCTGCAAGGCAGCGCTAGCAAACCCGCTAGGTTTGCGCTAGGTTTGATTGACAGCCATGGCCTCCATGTCGTGAATGTCTTGCCAGCTTTTCTTACAAGTCTGTCAGTTTCCACATATTCCCAAATTTTCGATTTTTTTTTACGTATTTTACGCGCTAGATTGCCGCTAGCAACGCGCTAGCGAAAATTCCAAATACATGCCCCGGTTCACCCGCAGCCCATTCAGAGGCCCAGCCATGTTCACGCTTTGGTAGCTTACAGTAAGGAAACAGCGTTGATCAGGAGGCATGTCAAGAAGCATATTGCATTCAGAGAGGCGCACACACAGAGACACACAGTTCAGGAGATAGTACCAGCGACAGCGAATGAAAACCGACGTGCGTTAGCCAATTCCTGTGGTTTTAGAAAGATTTCCAAAGGTAACGAAGAATTTCCACGTTTTCACGTCATCAAGGTAGGTCATGTTTTTAAAAGGCAAACATGAGGCGGCACGCATGGAATTGCGATTTATCAACAAAACCGGGAACAGACATTTTGACAAACCGTCATATAAATATATGTAAATACATATAAATATTTATAAACATGTTTAAATACAAATAAATATATTTAAATATACAGATATGATCAGATATGTGTATACGAATACTTGTAGATGCCCCAATAAGTTTGCAATGGTGCATGTTTGTGCCTGCGGACCGAAAACCGTTCCCGTAAAACGCGCGTTTTTGAATATCTGGATTTTGGGGTGGGGTGGGGTGGGGGGGGATGTTAACGTTCCTTGTACTTCGTACCTGATATATTGCTACGCTGCTGAGATCTCTGGGATCGTTTACTACGTTACATGTTGCTACGCTGCTGAGACCTCTAGTGTGGGGTGGGGTGGGGTGGGGTGGGGGTGTTAACGTTCCTTGTACTTCGTACCTGATATATTGCTACGCTGCTGAGATCTCTGGGATCGTTTACTACGTTACATGTTGCTACGCTGCTGAGACCTCTAGTGTGGGGTGGGGTGGGGTGGGGTGGGGGGGGATGTTAACGTTCCTTGTACTTCGTACCTGATATATTGCTACGCTGCTGAGATCTCTGGGATCGTTTACTACGTTACATGTTGCTACGCTGCTGAGACCTCTAGTGTGGGGTGGGGTGGGGTGGGGGGTGGATTTAACGTTCCTTGTACTTCTTACCTTATATATTGCTAAACGCTGCTGAGAATCTCTGGATCATTTTGGCGACGTGAACATGTTGGCTTACGACTGCTGAGACCTCTAGTGTGGGGTGGTTTGGTGGGGTGGGGGGGGATGTTAACGTTCCTTGTACTTCGTACCTGATATATTGCTACGCTGCTGAGATCTCTGGGATCGTTTACGACGTTACATGTTGCTACGCTGCTGAGACCTCTAGTGTGGGGTGGGGTGGGGTGGGGGGGGATATATAACGCCCGCAAGTTTTTCCAGGCTTTCCAATCATCAAATTGGCACGGCACTGTGGTAAAATCACCATTTTTTAAAGCGATGGCGCTGAAAAAGGAAAAAACGCGCCCCAAGTTTTTCCAGGATTTCCAATCATCAAATTGGCACGGCACTGTGGTAAAATCACCATTTTTTTTAAAAAAATGTGCGTTTTATGGGAACGGTTTCCGGTCCGGCGGGATGTTTGTGTGTGTGGGGCGGTGCATCGATGTGTTATTTGTGTGTCTGCCGTCATGGAGGTATGTCTTTGCTTTAGGAAACAGGATTCCAGAGAACATCCATGCATGTACAAGCAGATACATCTTGATATATCAAAGGTGCATCAAACAAACATATCATGCATCTGCATTATGCTGATTTATGCGTGCTGAGACATTCAGATGATAGGCAATTGTGTAAATCACGCGTTTGACATTTATATACACAGGCTAAATGTGTTTGATAACCCCCCTTTTATCACTTTCTGCCAGTGGGTAGGACATGTTCAAATTGTCAGACAAGAACCGGATAGCACCATGGCACAACCTAATTTGATTTGTTCAAGAGCTGTATCATTGCCAAAGGTGTTTGAACATGGTTCTAGAATGTCCTGGACAGGTACTTCATCTCTAACAGGTACCTGGACACAAACTGCCTTTGGGGCCAAGAAGAGACAGTGCCAACCGTGCCACCCATGCCGCTGCATGCCACCGATGTGTCAGGTATAGCCAAAGGCATGAGTCCCAGCGAGCAAATGACAGCGGCTGCTGCCATCATCCGCTTGCCACGAAGAATGAGCCAACCTGAAGGCGGTCCACAAGTCGCTTGGGCGACAGTCATCAAATGACATGTGTTCGTTTGAGTAAAAGTGTGTGCGTGTGTGTGGAACATCTGAATAGATGTAAAACCTCTACTTAAGCAGGGGGTGGATGCATGGTCTGGCAGTCATCCACCAACGAAGACACTGCCTTTCCATGGTGATATGACGAAGGGACGCCTTTGTCACGTACCTGCTTTATTTTCGGACATGGGATGTGGCCAACCCAAGAACCACCATGCCGTTTTCAAATAACTTGCTTTCAAATTTCTCGATTTGCACGGTTTTCGCAATCTGTCAACTTTTTTCATCTAGCACTGGTCATGGCGATGGTACCTTTTCAGTTTTTCTCGGGTCTCTTCACCGACCCATTCCTGTCAGGTGTAATTGGAGTGTTTTTGCACGTAAGATGCATTCCACATCAGAATTCGCAACGATTGTGCTGAGCAAGTGTGTGATTCATGCTGGATTCGTCACGGTGGCATGAACCCTTCTGGGAATACCTTTCCAGGTGGGAGAGTGAATCCTCGACCTGATCTCTGAATTTACAGTTTTCAACCTAGTAATTCGTCTAAGTAAAGTGAAACAGCTGGCCATTTTTCGGGTCTCACCTGTCGCCTGTCGATTTGTTAAACAGTGGGCCGCTGTATTGGGCTTCACCTTTTTCTCTTGATCCTTTAAAGTTTCAATCTAGCAATTCGCTTACGGAAGTGAAACAGTTGGCCATTTTTCGGGTCTCACCTGTCGCCTGTCGATGTGTTAAACAGCGGGCCGCAGTACTGGGCTTCACCTTTTACTCAGCATTGATTTCCAGGTATCAGGACATGCTTGCAGGTATGGTGACTCTTCTTTTTATGGTTTTTGGTACGGTTCAAATGTGCACGTAATTCGGGGGTTGACGACGTAAGCTGTCCATCGGGTTGATCTGACCACCGAGGGCCTTGAGCCTTATCACGACTCTTGCATGGATTGTGGATGCATCATTTCATTAACTAGTCCCCCATGGGTCCCCTATTTCATGTGTTCTCCTCTCTACAGGTAGGTTGGGTTCTGCGCGTGCTTAGGTAGGCGTAGGTTTCGCTGTGGTAGGTTGGTTTAGGCGCTTCCATCCTCCCCCCCCTCCGCTTGTCTTGTTCTGTGTCCGTCGGCCTCCGCTTTTCTTGCCCTTTCAGGGTTTGCCCGCTTCGGGCCAGGTTTGCCTATGTTGGTGTTTGCTCCTTCCCTCTTCTTTTGCGTTCCCCTCTTTGCGTCCTGGTTAAGTAACTTTCATTTCACTTTCATCTTCACCTCATCTTCATTTCCTTTCAATTTCATTTTCATCTCATTGTCCGGACCTTAATTTTCCCACCCTCCCGCGGGAGGGTGTGTGTGTGTGTGTGGAACATCTGAATAGATGTGAAACCTCTACTTAAGCAGGGGGTGGATGCATGGTCTGGCAGTCATCCACCAACGAAGACACTGCCTTTCCATGGTGATATTATTCAGCGGACGCCTTTGTCACGTACCTGCTTCATTTTCGGACATGGGATGTGGCCAACCCAAGAACCACCATGCCGTTTCCAAATAACTTGCTTTCAAATTTCTCGATTTGCACAGCAATCTGTCAACTTTTTTATCTCGCACTGGACATGGCGATGCAACCTCGCCCATCAGCTCCTATCCCACTACCCGTTCCCCCACGTCCAGCAACACTGGTACCGCCAACGCCTACGGCTACACCTCTACCAGGCCCACCAATCCGTTCCCCCCAACCCCCTGCATCACCACCATCGGCATCACCACCCGCACCAACAACAACCACGGTCACAGATCAATCAGGACAACAATTTCCTACAGACCTTAATGCAGTCAGCAGTCAGGCCAAAATCAGGATCAGCAACAACACGGAGCAGATCGCCATTACCCAGACGACGCAGGTACCCGCTCCAGATCTTCAGGTTGAAACTCCCTTGTCTGGACCCCCAGCAATATGGCACGACAACGAGCTCACTGGAGTTTTGTCCCTGTACTCAACACTTCCGACACCGTATTCAGCATTCCCATTACCAACAAGAACAGATAGAGCTATCACCACTCAAGAAGCAGGTTTCAGAGCGTGGCTTCGACAGCAACAACATCCAAACTCCCGTATGATGGCTTATGAACAGATCAAGTATGTGGCCGGGAGTTTGAGCCTCGCGCAATTAGATATAGCTCGCCGTAGACCATCGCAAGTATTTGAATTTGGTCCGACTTGGACACATCCATTCACTGATGATTCAGCCATACAATATTTCTATGTGATACCCATTCCGGAATTCAAATCCCGAATCGGTTTTGGAGATGATATTCCTCCAAAGCAATGTAGAGCCGTAGGGCGCTTAACGCTGATGCTCGTGATGCTATTGAACATGTACAGTTGGCTCACGTAACCTCGCCAGGAGGTCTCAGAGGGATTTTTAAAGGAAGCAAAGCTCCGACCCTCTAAACTACATCAAGCAGACTCCTGTTCATTTTTTGCTATTGGGTATTGGAAATTCTTTGGCCTTCAACAAGATCGATGGGAAACAGCCCGAGTACTCAATTCAGGTTGGCAAGCGAGCAAGAGCACTGCTCGAATTTTGGTCTTGTGTTTAGGTCGGGGCGACGGAAAAACTTTAAAGAAGGAGGTGAAGCCCATTTAAGCCCCTTGCATTGAACATACTCGGCATGGAGGTATTTGTCACCATTGACGGGCAAAATTTTGGATATGTTCAATTCGTAATTCGTACGCATTACATTAATGCCTTGGCATGGAAGTGCAACGCCACTCCACCAGCGGAATCACTGCCATACGACGCTTGCACATTTTTTCTGAGTGCAAAAAGAGGCCATTTCGCTACTTGTATCATTCAGGTTTTGATCCGTCTCATGTCTCCAAGTTTCAGTGAGAGGGCCTTGCACTTCTTCTCGTCGGACTCCATCTTCCTTAGTAGATTCTATGCTCATGGTTTCTTCTCAGTTTGGACCCGTCAACATGACCCACAACTGGTGATCGTGGAAGGATTATCAAAATTCATCATGGTCGCAATGGTCTTCGTATGGACCTCCTCTTCCGTCGTCATGGAAACAAGAATAAACTCATCATGGTTCCGGTTCCTGGGTATCGACTGCTTCGAAATATCCAACCTGCTGCTTGGAGTCGCAAAAAGGGTATTCATGGTCTTGATCCTCTTGAACTTCCAGTATACCAGCTTTGTCGCTATGAGGCTTCAAGAGTTCAGTCTTCGCCCTTTGAGTGCAGGCAGGTTTGTGGGTTTGGTGTGCACAAGATTGGTGCAGAATCCGTGTTTACCGCTCGGCAGTTGAAAAGCATGCGGGAGAATGCAGTGGACATTGACAGCATCGCAAATCATTTGCATCAGACCAGCTCATCAACAACGTCGACTCCATCCAAAAATGACGCAGCGCAAGATCAGTTGGCAGCCGCAGGTCTTTCTGACCAACATCAAAGCCATACAATTTCTCCAAAACAACATAAACAACCACCAAAGCATAGCCCCAGTTCCGCACATTTGGGTAGCACGCCTAAACGAAAGGCAAGAAAAATGGAGGAGACGACTCAAAAGAAGTTGTCCAAGATCTTTCCGCCTCAAGAGCATCAGCACCTTCGGTGCCAGAGGCTGCCAAAGGCGCCCGCAGAACTCCAGGGTTTATTTCTGACGGTGATGATGATGTTTTTTGCTTTCCGCTTCGGAAACTTTGGACGCTTCTTCTCCTGTGCTTAAACAGTACCAAAAATTGTTCAAATTTTCCCGACGGAGACCCAGCAACCTGTGATGAAGATCATACAGATTTTGGATAATTCTGGTTTCACGAAAACCGATCTTCAGCAAGCAGCCATACAATATGGCCTTCCCATGGACATGTCACATGTCATTGAATCTGAAAATGGCACCATCCACTTTGCACCAAATTGTTGCCATTAATGCAAGTTTGGCCGCTTGACTAGTGCGTGATCATGAAAGCATGAACGTCGAAATTTTGTTTTCTGTTATTGGTTGTTATTGACATTCTGCGCTCGGCATTGGCCCATTTTTTGCATTATGTTCCTTCCATTTCGAAAGGACCAGCCTTGTGGAGCTGGAGCATTTTAATCATTTTATATGTTCTTTTGTTGACGCGTTACTCGGCTCCCGCATTGACTACTCGAAGCCGTTCAAAGAATTCAGGCATCTCCCCACACATGTACACTTACCCGTTTTTTCAATCCTCATGTGCGGTTATGTCAAGATGCCGTTTCACCCACCTGACCAGAAGCGGAGGTGGTACACACGGTCCGGACATTTTATTAGTTCAACTGCCATTTCAGCCTTGAAACGTGAATTCAACAGGCAGGACAGATTTTGAATCGTACACGTGTATTGTTTTGCAAGCATGCGCAACGTACGGTACTGTACGACAATGCCTGGGTCCGTGAATATGTGTTCATTAGTTCTTGGCAACCTGCTTTGAATCATCCCTTCAAATTTTCTCAAACTCAAATCTGAAGGTTGGCTGATGCAGTTGCGAAAAATCGCCAAGGTCCTGTTAAATTGAATCCGAGATTGTATCAAAGAGTTCGACGATGTTTGTTTTCTCTCCGATCGGTGCCGTCACCTCATTCGTTTCAAGAACAAGCTTGGACAATTTCATACCAAATAAGCCTGTTCACAAGAGCGAGCTTTGAAGCATGCAAGCGAATTCGATCTGGAGAATTTCATAGCCTGGAAATTTATGCTTCGTACAGACTGGCGACTCACATGGAAGAACCCGGTAGATCTAGTGCCAAGAGTTTGATTGGAAAAGCGTTGCTATTTCGCAACGCCACAGTTCCAAAAAAAAATACCATTGCACATTCCGTTTTTGGCGCATGACAGTTTTCGAACGAATATTGAGACTCGGATTAGACAATTCATTTTACAACATAGAATTGCTGCAATTCCTCTCTTTTTATCAACTCATCGACTCAGAGAACAAGGTTTCTCCAAGTTGAGCGAAATTCTACACAACCATCGAAGAATGGAGGGACGATGGAAAACGTCTCACATACAAAATCTCCCTTGCTGCTATAATGTACTACGATCCATTGCAAAGCAGCACATACATAAAACCTACGTGTTTCCTTTCCCGGTCATATGTTCAAAAGCGGTGACCCGTTGGCTGAAACATCATGGATTACCACCTCAATTAGCTTCCGCGTTTTTGCAGAAGATCATCGCACAATGGAAGCTTCATTTCGATGCCATTGACAACATACCCATATTTCTGTTCATGCTGCTCAACACCTTTTACATTGGCTCCCAAAGGACTGTGTGATTCATCTGGTGGTAATGGTCATGAATAATTTCGTTTGACCTTATTTTGTCCTCTGCTATATTTTCAAGGTGCCCTCAATATTTGGAATGATCCCGAACTTTTTGAACAACTACCCATTTCTCCTCATGAAGCGCAAGTTCGTATTCAACAGGCTTTCCTACTTACCTGGTTAGAACGTATCCATGGGGCTTTCGCAAAAAAGCCACCTTGCCGTATGGATTTGTCTTTTTGAAAAGGGGAAAAAATTGGCCAAAAGGTCGGACTCTGATTAGCTAGTTTCAGAGCTACCAGTCCACATTGTTAAAAGCTGTGTCACGCGGTTTAGATTCCATGCTCCGAGAAGTTTGGCCCCACCAACTAGGGCAACAGAGTGCTCCTCAAATTTGCAACACAATTCATTCGCTCGCCATTTCGTGAGATCCCCGAAGAAGTTCATTTGGAGCTTTTTGAATGATGATTTGGTGGGTTTTTCCAACTCTGTTCCGCAAGCCCGACTTCTTGGTGCAGTTCAGGCATTGATCGTAGCATGGAAAGACCGTCACCCAGGAGATCTCTCAATTTCAGTAGACTTGTCAGCAACAAGAGACCCGATACAGTCGACGTTCGCAGGCACTTGCAGAAAATCAGCCTACAACGTCAGGTCCATCAAATGGAGGCCAGCCTCAGCAGTCATTATTTCAGCGCACTTGGAAGTATTTGGCATCAAATCCGAGGAGCCGTCACCATGGTGGAGCGAGCGTGGCAACATTTGTTCGAGGCGCTTCTCAGTCAGAAACCATTGAACTTTTCCTCCGTTAGATATGTTGATAACCGCTTTGCCGTTTTCGATTCTGTCATTGCCACGTCAGATCCAATCGTCATTTATTCTGACCCAATTCTTTTTGGACACCCAGTAGAGCTGGAAAAGGTGGATGATTCCATGCTTCTGGGATTCCATGTTTCCCAACCAACAGCAAATTCAAGATATTACATCAGCTGGGTCTATCCGTCTCAGGCTGAGCGGCTTGAAAAGCCGAGCTCACCTGATTAGAAAATACTAAATATTCGTTTCCGTCTTCAGCAATTGAACCTAGTTCACGTCAGCTTGCACTTTTGTATGTACAGCAGTGTTTTTCTCCGACCGAAGTACACCGACTCCTGCGAAGTCAAAAATGGTCTCGACGACATACGGCCTTGGTGTGTGAGCCAAACCCTGTTCCTAAGGGCTGTTCGTTTTTTGCGTTTTTTTGCCCGTTTTTCCCACTCACTATTCAAAATAGGTGAATTGCCCGACTTGTAACAGTGGCAGTCCAAAGAAGAGGCTGTTACAAGTCACTGACATGGATTCTGGACGCAGAATCCACGTACCCGTTCTGAAGTGTAGAATTCCCATTTTCAATTTTTCGAAGAACTAGGTCTTTTCTCTTATCATGGCAACCACCCACGTCGATCACGGCAACATAAGGCCTTCCCGGGAATTTTCCAATTACCCAGAAGAGTTCTAAAACCAACGACGACATGCGGTCTTTCAAGTGCGTTTGTTTGTCGTAAATGTATGTTAACATATGTTAATGATAATGTAATTTCTGGGCAAACATACTTATTGTATCTTGTTGTTGCATTTACAGGCCTGAGGCGCAAGTCCGACTAAAGGGGCAAGCTGCTTGCTTCCGCTTGCTGTCCTGAACACGTCCCTATTTTTATCCAGCCAGTGCTGAGACAATTCTTTCAAAATCATGAGTTCCTAATCGCGTCCGTTTCCTGACAAGAGTTGGCAAAAGTCAGCAAGTTGATGTAATTTCTAGGTATTTTGATGATACCTGTAGTGTTGTCAGTAATTTGGGAGGCATTTAAGCGATTGAAGCAGGACATGCCGGCGCGCCTCACAAATTGACTTTCGGAGAATCTTCGCTACACATTTCCGCCCAGGTGGAAAAGGAAGTGACGCCGGAGGACCCCCCGATAGATATTTGTTTTGTACCAGTACCAGGTACTTGAATGTGGTATATGATGGTATATATGATATGCAAGTGAAGGATTTTTTTAGGATGTGTGAAAAACAATATATATATATAAATATATATTTGTTTTTATTTATTTATTTCCTTATATCCCCGCATGTTTTGGTTTGGTGCAGATGAAATAATTTGCGTCTGGTTGTAGAACGGATAAGATGTTTCCTGCGTTTGTCGCTGTGAGTAAGCTTCTGCTTGAGACCTATGCCGGTTGTTGCCATGTTTTTTGGTCATTGCTTGAAGACATCTGGTAGATTTGGGGTGGTAAACATCCCCGCCGCAGCACACAAAAGTTGCTCAAAACATGGGAGAAACGGCAACTGGAAGACATGTCAGTGGTTCTTCGGGAAACTGGCTCCGCTTCGGAGCAATGCCACTTTGTCAAGAACAAAACCGTAGATGCCAAAGGGTTTGACGCAAAAACTAATCCCGGGGCACTTGCAAAAGCTGACACGAAACACTTGTGTGGTCGCTTAGACAGGATTTTCTATGGAAACAAAACGGGTTGGACATTCCAAGGTGGATCTTCGGACGTTGATGCTTTTCAGGAAGTGTTCAGCGAGAATCTTGGTTTCAATTCAAACATTAACCAGCTTCGGGAAGGACTTCAAGCGAGACTCCTGAAATCACCCAACTACCAGTCCGCACCAGGTCGTTAGCAGAATTTTGAAAATTCGGAAGCCAAATATCCCAAATCCAATTTCTTATGAGTTTATTGTCATTTTATCCCGTAGGAATTGCCAATTTTTGGTCGTCCCCATTTTGAGACAAAACCATTTTGGGATCAATGCCTCAAATATCCTTGTATGATCAGCACGCAATTAGTTCCATGCCAGACTGCCAGATTTTTTTTGTTCCTGCCGTGGTTCGTATCTTTTGTGAAGTTGCTTTCTACCCCCCTGACCCATCAAGATCTTCTCAACATGCAGGCAGATAAATTGGTTTGGTTGGCTTAATTGGATTTAATTCATTCCTAGAAGAGGAAGACTAATATCCATGCAGAAGGACCTTCAGTTCACAGGTTTTAGGTGGGCTCAGTGAACGGAAACGATTTTTCTGCAGCGCATGACTCAGGAATTTTCTGCAACACAGTGGAGCCAGCAGCAGTATCCTGGAGATCATGATCGTTGCACCCTTTCGCATCCGATGACGTTTTGGTGATTTCGATAAGCTGTGACTGTGATCAAAAACTTGATATTTCATACTGTATTATTATTATTATCATTATTATTATTATAGGATGTCATGTTTAGTTCTTGAATCTGGGGGCACATAACCTATAGAAGCAATTCTGTATGTGACAACGGCCTGAAAAAGGAGCGTTTTCAGCCGTGCAGAAAAAATATGACGTTCTTTGGCGCACTGGCGCATACTGCAGCTATTTGCCCAATTGGTTGCTTTTTCCCGGTGGGTCATGATGAAATCATGTTTTGCGACCAAGACAGACAGATGTCACCTAAAGTCACTGTATGCAACGGGGGAACACGCTGCATGTGCGTAGTGAAGGAATTGCAATCCTCACACATGTCCACGTGACACGTGCGATCAGCACGCTGAAGGTGTACAGTAATGTATGGTACTCGACATGCCCGATATATATATATATACATACAGCACATTATAAACTGGAATTGCAAATCTAGAACTGAAGCAATCACCAGTAGGTTTGGTGCACTGCATTGCATGAATTGTGGACACGTGTAGGATTTGCGCGCCATATGATTCAGCCGAGGCCAATGTATGCCTTTCATGCCATTCTCTTCATGTGAGCAGTGTTCAAAACTGCTGTTGGTTGATGATGGTTGATGATGATATGGGGCTATCGTACCCAAGACATAGGGATTTTCGTAATTGCTATCAGAATCTCTTCCACCCAAGCATCATAATGGAGGTCATAGGGTTATCAACACTGCTTATGTCATGTTTATTTAAATGATTATTTAAATGTGTGGTTCGTGTTCCGGTACTACGAATAATCCAATTTTGCTTCCAAAATCTTCCAAATGTCGGCGATATCTTCTTTTATCATGGAATTATTCCCCTTGCTCAACCCTTGTTCTAGTTGTGGCTGTTGTCCCTCTGACTTCTAGGTTTGTGAGTTTGCTTCTGTATCCTCAGTTCGCTGTCATGTTAATTTTAAACGATCGACCTTGCTAGCACCGTATTTTTACCTTTCTGTTCAACTCCTTTTTGTTTCCCATGGTCTCAAGAGTGGCTCAGGGATCGTTTCCAAGATCTAAAAGATCGCATCAAACCAGGAAGAAACGAACACATTCGCCATCAGCCATCACCATGCGTTGTCCCTAAACAGTGCTGAGGCAGCCAGGCCCGTACAGACGACAGATCAGAGGAGACCTTCGAATCCTTGCCTGGCTATGTCAAACTTGCTTGCAACCCGTGTCTTTTTTACAACTCTCCTTATGGCTGCATTCAAGGCTCGTATTTGTAGCTGATGCATCTTGATCCATCTTGGTCCATCTTGATGCATTTTGATGCATCTTGATGCATTTTGATGCATCTGGATGCATCTTGATGCATCTTGATGCATTTTGATGCATCTTGATGCATCTTGATGTGCTCATGTCATGTGATGTCATGTCATGTCATCGTGTTCATGTCTTTTCATATTCTGTGTTCACCCAGTTTGACTTGTAGTTTTACTGTCCACTTTATGCGAGGTGATTTTTTTCCGTGGCGGCAGGTGACCGTTGTGGTTTCTGTCATCATGCGGCAGAACAACCAGCCGGGCTACAGACTCGACCCAGGAAACTTCGACGCGAGAGATGCAAGCGCAGACTCCAGTCACCTAGCGAACACTTGTGATGGAGGCTGTTTTGGCTTGGCAGTCCGTTATGATCAGTCATGTTTACAGTGGGAAATAGCTTAGACGTTGGGGCAAAGGGGCTAAAAACCTACGGCTGGCGCGCCTGGTTTTAGCCTACAGATGGCTTTGGCCTGTACTCCAAAAACGCTACGCACGGGTTTTCAGGACCTGATGAAAAAACCTCAAGCGCCGGTATTCATCCAATAAGAGTTTTTTTTGTTTGTTTTGGAAGAGCTTTGCCAAACGTCAAGCTCAGGGGTTTCAGCCAAAGTTGGATTTTCAACATGAGAGTTAGTGAAAGGCTGGGGTCACGGGTTTTCATCCAGGAACATTTTTTCCATAGAATTCAGCAGCTACCCAGGGGGAACTTCAGCTCACAGGTTTTCATCCACAAGTATAATTTTGGTCACGGGAACTTGAAGTGCTCACGACATAAACCCCTAGACTCTAGACCCAAGCAAAGGTTTTAATTCACAAGTTGTTGATGTTGTTAAAAGCCCAGAGCTGGGGCACCGGATTCTGGCCCTGTTTTTTTCGGCCATAGTGGATGGCTTTGCAGAAATGAGTGGTTGTGTATGATTCCTGCAGGCATGATATTCAAGGCTGATAATGCGCGGTGTAACTTGGAGAGCTGTTCGGGCAGAGTTCAAAACAGGGATGTGTGAGATGAAATCTTGGGGTCTGAGGTTTTGTGTTTTCCCGAATGCGTAGCAAGGGTTCCCGTTTCACTCTGGGGGACTGGGGGTTGAGGGTGTGTTCGCTAGACGTTGCATTCACGGTCGCAACCGTTCGCAACCGTTCACAACCGTCCGCAACCGTTCGCGCGATTGCTATATGGCCGTGCCTATGGTAATTTCTGCAGCGGTGGTCATTTTTGGAGGTTTCAGACGTCTCGTTGCTTCGTTTCGCGTGGCAGGCGTGGCACTTCGTGACATTCAGACGTGTTTTGTAACGTGTCCTTTGTGTGGCAGGCGCAATATTTTGGCGACGTTTTCAGAAGATGTGTTGCAGTTTTCGTCGTCATTTTGCGTGGCAGGTGCAGCACTTTAGACGTGTCGTGTTGCGTGTTTTTTGCAAATCGCATTGGCACGGCTGCGTTAAATGGCGACAAGGTGCAAATTCCGTGGCAGGCGTTGCATTTTGTGACATGTGCTGAATTGACGGAAGCCTCGCACGAAACATCGATTTTGAGGCAGCAAAATTTAGAAGTTCCTAGGAGAACTCGTAGGAAATTGTCGATTTTGAAGCTACAAAGTGTGAAAATTGGAGGAAGTCTCGCACGAAATGTTCGTTTTGGTGTCTCTGGTTATCCCGTGGCTTCGCCGTATCTATGGGGGAAGCTGCAAAACCTGTCCTTTCGGCATGTTTCAAACTGTGAAAATTGGAGGAAGTCTCGCACGAAATGCTCGTGTTGGTGCTCCCACGCGTCTCGTCTCGAGTCTCTGGTTTTCCTGTGGCTTCGCCGTGTCTATGGGGGAAGCTGGACAACCTCTCCTATTCGAATGTGTCCAAGCAGGTTGTCATGTCGTTTTGCGTGGCAGGTGTGGCACTTTGTGACATTCCAACCTGTTTGATAATGTGTCGAAAATATCACAATTGGAGGACGTCTCGTACGAAATGCTTGTTTTTCTGCACCCACGTGTCTGGTTTTCCTGTGGCGTCGCCGTGTCTATGGGGGAAGCTCCGCACTCCACACTCTACACTTTACACTCCACACTCCACAATTTACACTTTAGACTCCACACTCTATACTTAACACTCCACACTTTAAGCTTTGCACTTTACACTCCTCACTCCTCACCTGAGACTTTACACTCCACACTCCACACTTTACACTACACTCTACACTTTCCACTCCTCACTCCTCACTCTACACTTTACACTCCAAACTCCACACTCTACACTTTACACTCCACACTCCACACTTTACACTACACACTCCTTACTTTACACTCCACACTTCACACTCCACACTTTCCACTCCACACTCCACACTCCACACTTTACACTCCTCACTCCACATTTTACACTCGTCACTTTACACTCTACACTCCACACTCTACACTTTACACTTTACACTCTACACTCTACACTCCACACTCCACACTCTACACTTTACACTCTACACTACACTCCACACTTTACATTTTACACTCCACACTCCACACTCTACACACCACACTCTACACTTTCCACTCCACATTTCACACTCCACACTCTACACTTTACACTCCACACTCCACACTTTACACTTTACACTCCTCACTCCACACTCTACACTCCACACTCCCAACTTTACACTCTACACTCCACACTCTACACTTTCCACTCCACACTCCGCACCCCACACTCCACACTTTACTTTAAACTCCACACTCCACACTTTATACTTTACACTCCTCACTCCACACGCCACACTTTACACTCCTCACTTTACACTCCACACTCCACACTCTACACACCACACTCTACACTTTCCACTCCAGACTCCACACTCTACACTTTACGCTCCAAACTCCACACTTTACACTCCACACTCCACACTTTACACTCCTCACTCCACACTCCACACTTTACATTCCACACTCCACACTCCACACTTTGCACTCCACACTTCACACTCCACACTTTCCACTCCACACTCCACACTTCACACTCTACACTCCACACTCCACACTTTACACTCCTCACTCCACACTTTACACTCCACACTTTACACTCCACACTCCACACGCGACACTTTACACTCCACACTTTACACTCCACACTCCACACTCTACACTTTACGCTCCACACACTACACTCCACACTTTACACGCCACACTCCACACTCTACACACCACACTCTACACTTTCTACTCCACACTCCACACTTTACACTCTACACTCCACACTCTACACTTAACACTCTACACTTTACACTCTACACTTCACACTTTACAATTTACAAACTCCACACTCCTCACTCAACACTTTACACTCCTCACTTTACACTCCACACTTTACACTCCACACTCTACACTCCACACTTTACACTCCACACTCCACACTCTACACACCACACTCTACACTTTTCACTCCACACTCCACACGCTACACTACACTCCACACTCTACACTTAACACTCTACACTTTACAGTCTACACTTCACACTCTACAATTTACAAACTCCACGCTCCTCACTCAACACTTCACACTCCTCACTTTACACTCCACACTCTACACTCCACACTCTTCACTTTACACTCCTCACTCCACACTCTACACTACACTCTACACTCCACACTCCACACTCTACACTTTACACTCCACACTCCACACTCTACACTTTACACTCCGCATTCTACACTTTACACACTCTACACTCCCCACTCCACACTTTGCACTCCACACTCCTTACTTCACACTCCACACTCCACACTCTACACTTTCAACTCCACACTGCAGACTGGTAACAAGGGAAACATGCACAAGACTGTTCAAAGAATCTATTGCAGAAAGGTATTGTGCGTGACTGCATAACCATGTGTTTTGACATCTGTACCATTAACATACGTGTAAGCATTCGGGTTCGTGGGTTTCATCTTGTTTTTTCTTGGGACATTCGTCCAGGGCAGGTTTGCGGAAATGCACGCTGTAACTTGCAGGGCTGTTCCGGCAGAGTTCAAAACAGGGATGTGTGAGATGAAATCTCGGTCTGAGGTTTTGTGGGGTGTTTCTCAGAACATTGGTTTAGGACAGATTTGGGAAATGCACGCTGTAACTTGGAGAGCTGTTCTGGCAGAGTTCAAAACAGGGATGTGTGAGATGAAATCTCGGGGTCTTAGGTTTTGTGGTGTGTTTGGGAATGGGTTCAGGACAGGTTTGCGGACATGTTTGCGGAAATGCACGCTGTAACTTGGAGAGCTGTTCCGGTAGATGAAGCGGTGGAAAGAGATGAAATCCTAGGTGTTAAGGGATAGGAGAAAATGAAGGTAAAAATCGCTCACAGTGGCTGAAAACATGGGCTTGAGATTCATGAAAACTAAATGCTGAAGTGCTCGCACAGGCTGAAAACATGAGACTGAGATTCGTGAAAATTAAATGATGACATTCTTGCACAAGCTGAAAACATTGGGCCTGAGTTTTATGAAAATGAAATAGTGAAGTGCTTGCACAGGATGAAAACCTGGGGCCTGAGTTTCATGAAAATGAAATAGCGAAGTGCTTGCACAGGATGAAAACCAGGGGCCTGAGTTTCATGAACATGAAATAGCACGTGCCTGAGTTTCATGAGTTTCACTCTGGAATACCAGAAATGTCAAGCACGGGCTTTCATTGGTTGCAGTTTGTACCTCAGACATCATTTTTATTGAAGGATTTTAGCCACTGGGGGGTAAAAACCAGGGAGCCTGCTTTGTGTGCTGCCTGAACGGGGATGTGGGAAAAGTATGGAAAAATAACCGTAAACTCCGTAAACCTACAAAAAAAAATCCGGGATCAAAAAACAGCTACAAAGGAGGACTTGGGCTACAGTACAGATTGCCAGCCAGGGGTCGTTTTGTACAAAAAAGTGGAGTTGGGCCAACCTTTTTGTATTTACATTCATTTTGTAGTTGTTTCCTTTCAAATCCTCATTTGTATTTTGTACTTGTATATCAGTGACAACTACAAAATGTTTACTGAAACTATGTTAGTCGGAACTTTGGATGGCATAGGCCCAACTACAAAATATTATTGGGAAAATTCATGTCAGAATTTCTGATTTTCAGTTATTTTTCAACTTCAGATGCATTGGTTTTTGTAGTGCATAGTTTGTTTTTTTCCGAGTCAAATTAAGTTGTGTTCTGTATTTTGTAGCTGCAAAAAGGTACCACGCATCGAATTTTGTAGTTGCGCACCCTATGCTTTGTGTCTTGTACCTATCAAAATCCACTGCACAACTCCTCCCCCCTTATCTGAACCCTGATACAAAAAAATGTATGTAATTACAAGAAGCATCAAAAGCTATGGAAATCCATGGGCGATGGGTGGTTGTCTCTCGTTCTGACATACTTTAAAATTTATTTGAACTTGAGATTGTCCATTTCTTAGATTTTCTTAGTGTACTAGAAAGGATGGGAAAGAATGGAGAAGAATGGAAACCGATGCTGTTTTGTGAACTCAACACAGAATGGAAACTGCATGAGTTGCAATGACTTGGAAGGCGCAAGTGCCAGTGATCAAACCATGGTTCTCCTGCTTTGAGGAACCTCCTAGCTCTTCTGAAGCAGGACCAAGGACAGGAGGCTACTGACATTGTGATATTATTTGGCACATGCAATGAATAGGGATGTCAAACTGAAATTCACTGATCTTGGGTTTGAGAGGTGCAGTTTTGGGACTTTTCTAGCGACGCTCTGAATCAGTTTGAATCATTCATAATCTATGGTTCGCTGTAGGTGCTGAGTAACTTGTTTCTTTGCGTCATCATCATCCTCATCATTATCATCGTCACCCTCATCCTCAACCTCATCCTCATCACCAGCGTCACCGGAGTCATCGTCATCACTGTAACTATCGTCATATCACCATCACCATGCCCCAACCAAAGCCTGGGTGGAAACTTGGATAAGGGCAGGATCAAGAGGAGCACCAGCCAGCATAGAAACACGGAGAAACATAGGGGCTGAGATCACACGGAGCACACAACGGGAAGCAGATGCGTGCATGCAAGCAGACAATTGGCAACAGTATACAACCACAAAAGGCAACAACTCCAGCTAAGCACAGCAACTTGAATGCACCCTTGATCAAGCAAGTTATGGGGCATTCGGTCTCATATCCCAAACCTACGCTTGCAACAGTCATGTACCGAATTGGGTACAAAGCTGAACCTGGATACTGGAGAAAATTGTAGAAACATGTAGAAACAAAAAGGCGCAACAGTGACAGAGGGTGAGAGATGAAGAAAGGACCGCGCCGAAAGACTTGCGTGACCATGCCTGAGCCTGCCACGTTGCTTCGCAAAGTTGTCATTTTCTAGCATTGAGAATGAGGTAGTATAAAACTCAAGACCGGCAACGATCTGGATCGGCATGGCTGTCAGGTTTGTAAAATCTTGGGAGGGCATGACATGACAAATTTCTATCCAAGTTGGTACAATACAGCACAATGGAGCATGATAGCTCCCGAACTCAAGATGTCCTTCTGTGTGGCTGTCAGCTTTCTCCTGCCACGGACAGCCAGAGACAATGAGTACGTCAAGAAGTCATGCTGCAAAGGATGGGAAACACATGGAAACATGATCCCAAGCCAACAGATCCCAAGCAGCTTTGACCAAGATCCACCGTTTCCACTTGGATAAGCTCATGACCCCATCATCCCCATCTGCATCTGGCCATGCAGATCAGTGCGAAGATGTGCAAAGCACAAGCCATGATTTCTTGTGATTTCTCAAGAAGCATCCGTAACATCATGTAACTGCAGTAACGTCCCAAAATGTCGCAAGAACACGCGCCTGCACACCGAATGTCACATACAATCAGGACCTCCAGAGATTCGGGAAGCTATCCAACAAGAGACGCGGCGGAACTTCTACACATGGATGATTGCTCAGAGTCTAGTTTCAGATTCTTGGTTTGGTATGATGTCTATGTTTTTTTCTACGCTTGGGTGGGCAGGGCGCGGGCTGCTTTTGATGATTTGCTAGCGGAGACGGTTGCCAAGCTACAAAATATTGAAACCTGAAGCTCAGACATTCGCAAGGCAACGTCAGAAATTTTGTAGTTTCGAATCCACGGGGGGGGTCTAAGTTTGCCTCTAGGCGCTACGGGCACTAGGAACACATAGAAAAGTTAAATACCCGAGCCATTTGTAGCCTTGCCTAAAAGCCGCAAGGTTCGACTTGTTCCATATACAACAAGTGATGCAAAATCAATGTTGCGACGCAAAAAGCAGACATTGAAGTTTTAGAGGCATGCATCGAACACCTGGGATTCCATTCAAACAGCCTCATTCAACATCATCAACATCCAACTATATCCAACTGATTTATAACTGATTTATAGCTGATTTATAACTGATTCCAGCTTTGAGCGATCCCTGAGGAACGTTTGCAAAGCCTGGGAGCCCCCAGGCTGCACCCACGGCAGCGAGCGGGTTCCAGCTGCAGGGCTGATCTGCGATTCTCGCTTTGAGATCGAACGATCTCAGAAGGCATTTAATACAAAGATGACATCTTAATTCGTCTTAATGCCTAAGACTTAGTAGTTAGTAGTCACTCGGCTTGATTTCCTGCGCCGCAGCTCGGCTCGATTTCCTGCGCCGCAGTTCCAACGTGGCGACTAGTGACCACAGACTGACCAGTGATTGGTCGACTCAATCAATCTAACCAGAAGGCTATCTTGATGCCCTGGGCTTGCATCTCTCCGAGGGAGCGGCCACAGCCAAGACAAGCTTCAGTATGGTTCATGGCCATCAAAGTATCTTTTGTTTTTTATGGGATATGATTCAATGTGGTTCATATGTCGGTCTATTGATAGTGTGTATATGCATATATAATATCACATTATATATATATGCAAAGTATATGTATACATGCATACCTCTCTATCTATGTGTATATATATATACATATGATGTGCATGTGTGTGTGAACCATCCCAATATATGTATTTTTTTACCTCGGCTCCTTTGTTTGATCGACCGTTGCTTTTGCTTGTGACCTGGTTTTCAAACTGTATTTATGCATGGGGGCACAGGTGTGACCCTGGTTCCTGTGCTAACGAACACGGCCAGATGTCACAGTGATATCAAAGGGAGACGTCCCTTTCACGTACCTGCAGTGTTTTATCCATTTGGTTTTGATCGTCATGGCATGGGGCCCAGCCGAGAACCTCTTCACTGATTTTTCGATTTCTGCATGGTTTCATATGGTTTCCGCAATCTGCTCAAGTTATTGCGGCCGACATGGTATTCTCAATCCTTTGGCTGTGGCAAAAGCACTGGCTCTGGCGATGGTAACTCTGCCAACACGTTTGGTTTTTCTTGAGGTCTTAAAGAGGGAAGGGACGGCCTCCGATATTACTGGCCTTCAACTGGTCGCACGTCGAGTCTGGTATTTACGATGTGCATATTCTTGCCTTGCCTGGTTCCCCCATCCTGTCAGGTTTATATGAAGTGTTTTTTGCACGACAGATGCATTCCACAACATAATTCGAGAAGACAGTTCTGAGCAAGTCTGTGGCTAATGTCGGCTTCGACGTGATCACATGAGCCCCTCGTAGGTAGTAACTGGGAACCTCGACTTGGTCTTTGAATTTTCCATTTTCAATCTGGCAATTCGTTTCAGTAGAGTGAAACAGATTGTTGCCTTTTTCCTCGTTTCACCTATCGGTGAATTGGCTTGACTCTGTGTTGAGCAACTGGCCGCTGTGCTTGGCTTCGTCTTTTTTCAACGATAATCCGGCATAGTGCCACTTGCAACCGAAAACCTTCGTTTTTCCAGCTTTACCCAACAGTACGGTGCTCAACTATGAGGTCATGTGCGACATTGCAGGCATCGGGACATGCTTTCCAGGTGTGGTATTCTTCCTTTCGGTCCCTCTGGTGAGGTTCAATTGTGCACTTAATTCAGCTGGGGCCAACTGACAGCCGTTTACAGGGTTGACCGGGTTGACCTGAGATTCGGCCTTTGAACCTGAGATTGCACTCTGCATGTCATTGTGGATGCATCTGTTTTTGAACTTGCTGTAGTTTTTCTTACCTGGCATTCCCTGTGCATTCGCCATGTTTCCATTTTCTTGGAATCCACGTCCCTGGGCTTTCCCAGCGGCACCTACTATGGATCCTGGTACTCACTGCTGAATCCAATGGCACGCACGGGCCGTCCTGGCATTGGTGGCCTTCTCAGTGGGTGCGATCCTGACATTCATCAGCAAGTTCAACAAGCTCAGCAGGCTCAGTCTCAAGCTCAAATTAATTTGTTGCAGCAACAGAACGACCCGCTGAGCCAACAGCACTTGATGCTCCAAACCGTACCAAATCAGCCAAAGAGCTGGCTGAAGAAGATCGGCCAAAGCCAATTATGAAGGTCAACTTGGTCAACGGTCAACTACATCAAAATGCAGAACAAGAGAACCAGCAGATTGCCCCGAATATTCAGGACAACAAGTGCGGTCTCATGGTTCAAGTCTTGGCAGGAGCAGGATTGCCGACCAAAGTGGGTTTCTCCACCCCTCGCAGATTGGTCCTTCAGAATACGGACAAGTATGCCTTGGTCATCCCTATGCCTGAAGTTTCACCTTCCAACCGAAGCCACCCTTTGGAGGGCCCTGCTTCACAGCACTGGTGTGGAAACGGCCAAAGGAATCTTATTGGAGGGCTTAGTACGTCCGGCAGATTGGAGCTTTCGTAGCGGCCTCAGTACATGCGACATGCCAACTTTCGGTGCATTCTTGGGTACTCCTATAGGTCGCCCAGACATGCCCAGACCAAAGTATTCCAGACTATGCGATGGCTTGAGCTACTTGACAGAGCCTCAACAAAGGAGAAAGGGCAACCCCATTCTTTCGGATTTATTTATCAGGGTGCCTATCCACATCTACGACTCAATGCTGGCGCAGTGATTTGGCTCAGTTGAAAGTGGCTCTCAAGGGAGCTGTGACCACCTCCCTGGGAAGCACACCATCACTCGCAGCGAACATACAACAGTTTGCAGTGTTGCCATTACTTGGGACCGCTTACCTTTTCAACAACCTGCGGAGGAAGAAAAACAAGATGCAGCCCACGAACCCGAACGCTCACACGGAGTCACACATATGTTAATGGTACAAATGCCGAAACAAATGGATATGCAGTCACGCAGAACACTTTTCTGCAATAGTTTATTTGAACAGTCTTGTACATTTTTCCCCTGTTACCAGTCTGCAGTGTGGAGTGGAAAGTGTAGAGTGTGAAGTGTAAAGTGTAGAGTGTGGAGTGTGGAGTGTAAAGTAAGGAGTGTGGAGTGCAAAGTGTGGAGTGGGGAGTGTAGAGTGTGTAAAGTGTAGAGTGTGGAGAGTGAAGTGTGGAGTGGGGAGTGTAGAGTGTGTAAAGTGTAGAGTGCGGAGTGTGGAGTGGAAAGTGTAAAGTGTAGAGTGTAAAGTGTAGAGTGTGGAGTGTGGAGTGTAAAGTGTAGAGTGTGGAGTGTGGACTGTAGAGTGTGGAGTGTAGAGTGTGGAGTGAGGAGTGTAAAGTGTAAAGTGTAAAGTGTGGAGTGGAAAGTGTAGAGTGTGGAG